TATTTTCTATTATAGAATAGTCTAGTTTCCTAGATCTTCTAATCTGATATAATATTATAGTAGAATCTAGGAATAAAGATTATATTCTTTAATTCAAAAATAATACTATTCTTCTTTAGATAAGTAGAATAGTATATAACTATTCTATATCTCTAAATAGTATTAGAGATATTTTTATTATATATATAATTATTATCAACTAGACTATAATTAATAAATAATTCTAATAAATTATATATATAATTATTGGATATAGTATTAAATATCTATTATTTTAATAGATTTATTACTATATTTCCTAGTTTAGAAGTCTATTAATATATTGTCAGACTGGCAGCTCACCTGACTACCAAACCCTAGCCCTAATTCCTGGATTGAGCCATTTGAACCATTGTTCCAGCCCAATCCATCCCTGACTAATTTACCCCTGTATTCTCACCCTGGATTCTCACCCCTGTATTCTGAATGTTTTGATTTCCTAATTAGGAAATCAATAAACAAAGAATTTTGGCTTAAATAGCCTGATTTGTTTAATAATTTCCTAAGGATTATTCTGAATTATCCTAAACTAGTTGACCAGATATATATTAAAATTAGTAGCTTATTTATTTTCTTATTTATTCTATCTTTGATTCTTTTGATTTTAATTATCTTTGACTTTAATCTTACTTTAACTTTACTTCTATACTTAGTTTATATAGAAAAGTAAAAGTTAAATAAAGCTCTAATTAATTCTATTTAAAAAGAACTGAAACTCTAACAGTTATAAGTCTAGAAGATCTCTTATTTTAATTTATTTTATCCCTCTATTAATTAAATTAGCTATAGTTAGTCTTATTTAATATAAATAATCAGATTATTCAGTAATCTAATAGAATTCTACAATTAAATTAGTTATATAACTAGATTCTATAGATTAATCAAATTCGACTATTCGCAATTAACAAAGAAATATAGGAATTAGTAAACCCAGAACTGCTAACTAAGCTAGTCTACTTAATCTAATCTAGTACTATTAGTATAAAATAGATAAAATCATCAGTAAATTTAATAATTAACTTAAATAAATCAGATTATCTACTATATTAGGAAGCTAAGCAGGACTACTACTAGAATCTCAAGGAATTTAATAAAACTACTTTAGGACTAGTCTTATTAAGTCTATTGATTAATTCTATATTAAGTAAGTAAAATTAGTATACTATACTTAATTTAGAAAAGCGCTATTAAATTCTTTAAGCCTTATAAAACTGTCTAGTACTAATTAACTAATTAAGAAAGTGAGATCTTATAAATCAATATTACTATCTTAGGATCTTAATAAAGGGTTCTATTAAGAGCTATATTAGTTAATAGGAATTAATATATTTTGAAGTAGTAGAGCTTTAAATTAGTAAGATTAAGAAGCTAATTAGAGTACTTTTTAATTTTCTTAAATTAATTTATAAAATAATAGGTATCTTTATATTAATATAGTAGTCTAGGCTTATTAAAATTTAAAAATAGTCAGGAAGAAATCTCTAACTTTCTTGAATTAATCTACAAGGCACATGACTGGATTCGGTTAAATTACCAGAATAGGTAATCTATTAATAAATAAAATAGGGTGAGCCATGTCATCTTCCAGGATCAAAGTAATGAACAAACTACTGAAAACAGCAATATATAAACAAAGCCCTGAAAGAGGAGATTATGTAGCTAATTCTGCCTCTATAAGTTAGGAAAGAATAATAAAAACCATAACTTTCAGGACTATTAATATATTAATAAAGACCTCTGAAATTTAATATAATTATCTAATCCAGATATGCTAAACTACTTTCAGTAAGTCTATAAGAATCTGAAATTTAGATATATCTATAAGAAGACTTGTTAAGCTTATTAAATAATTCTTATTATTCTAAAAATCTTTAAAAATTAATAAATAGAGAAATATTTATCTAAATTTACTCTATTAATATATTAATAGACTTCTAAACTAGGAAATATATTAATAAATCTATTAAAATAATAGATATTTAATACTATATCCAATGGTTATATGTATAATTCATTGGAATTATTTATTAATTACAGACTAGTTGATAATAATTATATCTATATTGGGAATATCTCTAATACTATTTAGAGATATAGAATAGTTCTATTCTATTCTATCTACCTAAAGGGGAATAGTATTATTTTTAAATTAAAGAATATTATCTTTATTCCTGGATTCTACTATAATATCATGTCAGGCTGGAAGGCCTAGAAAACTAGACTATTCTATAATAGAAAATATATTCTTTTAGAAATAGCTAATAAAATACCAGTCTACTATATTAAGCTGATTTATAGACTATATTTTATTTAATAGAAATAATTAGTCAAATCTTTAATAACTCTTAATTTAATAATTAAATAGCTAATTAGAATATTTAAAAAGTCCTATATTTTAAATAGAACTATAAAAGAATAGTATAATAGGTTAGGATATCTAGAAGAAGAAGTTCTAAGATATCTTAGTTAGAAGACTTAGAGTATTT